GGCTCTCTACAAATGCAGTCAGCATATTTATAAGAAATGAAGTAGAATATTATTCCAATTTTGCCTTCAGAGCCTAGGCCATAGAAGTGCAATATTTTTTTTCTCAGAATAATTTTGAGGAATCTGATGCATCTATGAAGTACTGGTGAGTTATTGGATACATAAGTGTCATAGCACAGTTGTTAGGATTCAGTTGAATTCATGTGTGAGGAGTGCTAGGCATGCTGCCTGGCTCGTGGTAATACTCTGAGTACAGCTCAGAGCCACATCATCTCCAAGTTTCTATCTATTTCAAATTATTTTCTTCAGTTTCCTCTTATTTGCAATGAACCTTAATGTCTGTCTCATTGAGTTGACATGGAAACAAAAGATCAGTATCCTGTAATAAATACTCTTAGAATGGGGCCGGCCACATACCAGAATTTCTACCTTCATGTGAAAGACTATTGATATATTAAGGTTCATGATTGCTAAATTTTCCTACCCTCACTTATGTTTAATTTTCTCCTAACCCTGAAAAATGCAACACACACACACACACACACACACACACACACACACACAGAGAGAGAGAGAGAGACAGAGACAGAGACAGACAGAGACAGAGAGAGACAGAGAGAGAGACCTTTTTGGTTTTTTTTTTTTTTACTCTTGTGTAGGCTATTACAGTCTAGTTTCACTAATGTTCTCTGTTGAAACATGCTTTTTCTGCTTATCTGAGAACGGCCATGGTGTCTCAGTCTTCATTCTGTTCCATCTGTCCTCTTATCTGACTCACGGGGTAGCACTCTTGACAGGAGGTGTTATCCGTAACAGCAGACTGGTGAAGCTGCAGCTGTTCTCTGGAGCATGCAGTAGGCATTTGTTTTGGGATCATCTGTTCAGGGCTCCGAGCAGTGCTCACCACCTGCTGGTTATATATTGTCTTTGAAATTTAGTTTTGTTTCTGTCTAATGGAATGTAGTTTGTGGCAAATACAGCCACAATCCTAAAGTTCCTGGCATCTAGAAGCTGCTTAACACGCACTGGATGTTACTGCTAATTGTTGCTCTTGGTATGAAGGCTGGGGCAGCCCTTTAGGCTTCCATGTTAGGACTCATTTCAGTTAACTGGGAGAAAGGGGCTGGTGTATGTGGGAGACCACATGCTTGTGTGTGTGTGTGTGTGTGTGTGTGTGTGTGTGTGTGTGTGTGTGTACGTATACCACTCTTTACAAGTAGTCAGTATTACCTTCTTGTTCACTTTCTTTAAAAGAAAAAGTCACTTCTGGGCAGTGGTGGTGCTTGCCTTTTGTCCCAGTACTTTGGAGGCAGAGGCAGATGGATCTCTCTGAGTTTAAGGCCAACCTGGTCTACAGAGCGATAGGCTCTAAAAAGCTATACAGGGAAACTCTGTCTTGGAAAACAAACAACAACAACAAAAAAGTTACTTCCGACTTTGATTCAGCAAATGTTTACTGAACATGACCCAGGCATGTTGATGAGGCAGGACTGAGTCAGTCTCCGCCCAGTGGAGTGTTGCTTCTGCCTTAGTGCCTTTTCTTTACCTTCTTCCTCAACACTGTGGCTACTTCACCTGCTCAGGATCACAGCTGCTTTTTATCTGCGTGAAATAACTTCAATGGGTACTTCTGAAAGGAGAGGTGCCAAGAGTTTGTTAATCTTTACTGACATCAGCATGCTTCTACTTCTGCCTGCCTGCTAGAGGTCATTGGTAGCTTTTCTATCGAGGCATCAGATCCATGTCCAATCCAAAGTGATGGTCACTGCTCTTCTGATTAAATGGTATCAACCTTTTGAAAAACTGCTCCTGTCTCAAGCCTCCTCCAACTAGTCAGGTGACTTTGGCCTCTTATGTGTCTCCTCTTTATGCAAACCTAGATCTATAGTAGATTCAGAGCATAACATCAAGAAACCTTTACACGATAATTATTTAGATTCCAGTAGTGCTGCTCAGTCTCAGAAAGGTGCTAATACACTTTCTAAAAACAGCCTTTATTATTTATTTGGTATTTAACAAATATTTTTGAATGCCTATAAGAGGATAAGAAACTATGTTCCTTTACAGTTAAATTCTTTTAAATATTATGTTTAAAATTATATATAAATATGATAAATATTTGTTATTGGAAAACAGAAGATGTTAAATAGACTTTTGCAGTTTTTGAAATGTATTCTTTCTTTCTAAGGCTAATGGACGTTTTGAAGTAGGCAAGAAGATCTGCCTAAGCATCTCAGGGCATCATCCTGAAACCTGGCAGCCTTCGTGGAGCAGTGAGTATTAGTGAATACAAGTTCCTATCATGTTCAGTTCATAATAGTGAATTATAAATACACTCTTGAAGAGATTTAAGTAAAGCTGTTGTGGCTAATATGTGGTATGACTGAAAAATTAACAAAAAAACACTTTTTCATGTCTACGTTTGTATAGTACTTTAATAACCTCTCACTTGAGATCTTTTTTTTCCTTCAGAATAGTTCCCTTTAGAATTTTTTTTTTTTGTGTGTGTGTGTGTGTGTGTGTGTGTGTGTGTTTGTTGTGTTGTGTTGGGGTTTTAGTTGTTTTGGGAAGCTGGATTTTTTTTTTTTTTTTTGGAGGCAAGGTCTTTCACTGAACCTAGAGCTTGCACATTTTGTTAGACTTGATGTCCAAGCAAGCCCCAGGAAGCGTCCTGTCTCTACTTCCCCAGAAAGGGCTAGAGTATGCAATGCTGGGTCTACCTGCTCTTTCTTTCTTACAACAAACGCACAGGGAGCATGAATGCTGGAGACCAAGCCTGGGTCCCTGTGTTTGTGCTGCCCTGCAGAGCTGTTTCCTACCTCAGCTCCTAACCACCTCTTACCCCAGCTTCTTTCACTGAGTTGATGTTCATTTTCTGTTTCAGTAAGGACAGCATTGCTGGCCATCATTGGATTTATGCCAACTAAAGGAGAGGGAGCCATAGGTTCTCTAGATTACACACCTGAGGAGAGAAGAGCACTTGCCAAAAAGTAAGTTCCTTGTTAGGACTGATTGGTATTAATGGTTAATGGTGTTAGGTCTCTTTCTCTTCGGTCACCTTGGCTAAGGATCCAGCCTTAACATTATAGAAATACAATTCTGCCAATTTCCTTGTAGTGATCGGAATTTAAAAAACTGATCTCGTGATTGTTTTTTATAGTATTAATGGGTTTCACACCATGTCAGGCAGGTGGTATTCTACTAAATTGTGTTACCAGCCCAACTATCTCATTCTTTTAAAATGAGTCGATAAGCTGGAAAGATGGTTCAGTGGTTAGCACTGGTTGCTCTTTTAGAGGACTCACATTATGGCTCATAATGGTCTGTAAGTCTAGCCCTGCAGGATCCAATTACCTCCCTTTTCTGCTCTCTGTGGGCACAGGAACACCTGTGGTGCACAGACATACATGCAGGTAAAACACCCATATGAAGTAATAATTAAAAAATAAAGTAGTTGATAACATTCTGCTATATTGGTTTACTCCAGTGGGAGACATATCTTCTAGAAAGCATCACTGGCCCCTTTGTCCCACTTCGGATGTTATTTATATATAGCTGTCTTAAGAACAACTCCTGGGGTTCGTAAGGGAATCCACTCTATCTTTGTAGGAACTTCTATAGCATATACTAGATATTCAGTAAATGATCTGGGATAATGGAAATTTTTATTAGGTAGTGATAGGTTGATACTGCCTTTTCTTAGATTTTTTTTTTTTTTTTGTAATTTAGAAACAATATTGTTTTACATGTCAATCCCAGTTCTCTCTCCACCCACCCACCCCCAAATAACACTCTACATATCCCATCCCCTTTCTGCTCCCCAGGGAATGTGAGGCCTTCCATGGGGATCTTCAAAGTCTGTCACATCATTTGGAGCAGGGCCTAGGCTCTCTCCTGTGTATCCCTCTATGTGGAGATAAGAGAGTATCCCTCTATGTGGAGTGGGCTCCCAAAGTCCATTCCTATACTAGGGATAAATATTGATCCACTACCAGAGGCTCCATAGATTGCCCAGACCTCCAAGATGACATCCTCATTCAGGGGTTCTGGAACAGTCCTATGCTGGTTTCCCAGTGATCAGTCTGGGGTCCATGAGGTCCCCCTTGTTCAAGTCAGCTGTTTCTGTGGGTTTCTCTAGCCTGGTCTTGGCCCTTTTGCTCATTACTCCTCCCTTTCTGCAACTGGATTCCAGAGGTCAACTCAGAGTTTAGCTCTGGGTGTCTGCTTCTGCTTCTATCAGCTACTTTTGGTGTATTTTTATCTATGTAATTGTAATAATTCATTCTATTCAAAGTACCATTTCCTTTCTGTCTGTTCTGGAACTTACTAGATAGACCAGAGTAGCCTGGAAATGGTAGAAAATCTGCCTGCCTCTGCCATAAATTCTATTTTTAATTGGCTTCTTTCTTGTTGTATATGTTTTTACCAAGATATAATTAGAGTTTTATATTTAACTTTAAAATGTTCATGATCTGTATTCTTCAGGATAGTATCACAGAGTATAATAGACAGTTTACATAAATATGTTGCCACTATAGATCTGAAGCTTATCTTTCTTTAGATAAATTACTTTTTTTCCCCCAAAGGTAATTTTTTTTATTTAAGTTTTACTAAATTATAATTTCACATGTCAATCCCTTCTCCCTCCCTCCCTCCCCCCCACCCCCACCCTCCCCCCCTAACCCTACCCCTAACCCTAACCCTAACCCTAATGAGAACTAAGTTGCTGCCTTGTCTCACAGTCTATAGGAACTGTTGTGAAATTTATAAGTGTTCTTTTCTTTTAGTTATTCCATATTTGAGTATCTTTAAACATTTTATTTATTTATTTATTTATTTATTTATTCTTTGGTTTTTTCGAGACAGGGTTTCTCTGTGTAGCTTTGAAGCCTATCCTGGCACTCGCTCTGGAGACAAGGCTGGCTTCAAACTCACAGAGATCTGCCTGCCTCTGCCTCCCGAGTGCTGGGATTATAAAGGTGTGTGCCACCAGCACCTGGCGAGTATCTTTAAACATTTTTTAAAAAGATTTATTTATTTATGTGTTATGTTTATGGGTGTCTTTTCTACATGCGTGTGTGTCTGTGCATCATGTGCACCTGTGAAGGCCAGCGAGGGCACTGGGTCCCCTAGAACTCTAGTTATAGATAAATGTGAGCTGCCATGTGGTTGCTGAGAATGGAACCCTGGTCTTCTGGAAGAGCACTCAGTGCTCTTAAGTGCTGAACCATCTCTCTACCCGCTGTTTGAATAGCATAATAAAAGGGAATTAGTGCTCAACTGTTTGGTCTGTGCTCATTGAACAACATTGTTTCCTTCCAGATCACAAGATTTCTGTTGTGAAGGCTGTGGCTCTGCCATGAAGGATGTCCTGTTGCCTTTAAAATCTGGAAGTGATTCAAGCCAGGCTGACCAAGAAGCCAAAGAACTGGCGAGACAAATTAGTTTTAAGGTACTATAAACTCCTAAACAGATCCGGTTATATAGCCTTTTTGTTTACTGCTGAATTCTAGATAAACAGGAAAGTAATATACTTCTATTGACATGAGATTTTATAAATGTTTTCTTAATACAAAAGATATAAGCCAGACTCATGCAGGCATTTGGGCATAGCAGTTAAAGCTAGACTGAAGAATAAGACTGCATTCAGGTCTCAGCTTTGCTGTTTACTGGCTGACATGTCAGGCATAGTACTTTACTATCATGTGTCTGTAGGGAGACACCGTAACCAAGACTACTAAGGGCTGGCTACAGGTGTGCCCGACCATGCCCACCAGGGTGTGGTCAAGGCCCTACATGTCTCCCTTTACACCTATAAATAATAATACTTCCCTGTCGGACTTTGTCAGGATATGTTAATTAACACATATACCACAAGTATTATAGTTGCATTTTAAACTATTCTTGGTGCTTAATAAATTCTAGTTTCTTTCCTTTTCTTTTTTATTTTTCGCTTATATATTACATCCTGACCACAGTTTTCCTTCCCTCCACTCCACCCAGTCCCTCCCCTAACCCCTGCTCTCCCCAGATCCATTCCTCCTCCATTTCCCTTCAGAAAAGAGCAGGCCTCCCAGTGGTATCAGCCGAACACAGCATAACAAAATAGAGTAAGACTAGGCATAAGCCCTCATATCAAGGCTGGGTGAGACAACCAAGTAGGAGGAAGAGGGTCTCAAGAGCAGGCAAAAGAGTCAGAGATACCTCCACTCCCACTTTAGGAGTCACACAAGAATGCCAAGCTATACAGCCATAACATGTATATAGAGGTCCTAGCTTAGACGCATGCAGGCTCTGAGATTGTTGCTTTAGTCTCTGTGAGCCCTTATTCAGTCCTGCTTAGTTGATTCTGTAGGTCATGTTCTAGTGGTGTTCTCAACTAATCTGGCTCCTACAATCTTCCTCCTCTTCTTCTGAGGCATTCCCTGAGCTCTGGCTCATGTTTAGCTGTGGATCTCTGTATCTACTGCTATCAGTTGCTGGATGGAGGTTCTTTAATAATTATTGGGCTAGGCCCCAATCTGTGAGTATAGCAGAATATTGTTAGGAATCATTTCATTGACTTTTTTGCTTCAAGTTGGAACAGTCATTGGTTGGCCACTCCCACAAATTCAGCACCACCATTACCCCAGCACATCTTGCAGCCAGAACAAATTGTTTGTGGAAGATTTTGTGGCTAAATTGATGTCCCAGTTGCACCATAGAAGCCTTACCTGGTTATAGAAGGTGGCCAGTTCAGGCTCCGTGTCCCCCATTACTAGGAGTCTTTGATAGAGTCACCCTTACAGATTCCAGGAAGTTTTCACTGCATTTGTTTTCCACATCACCCAGAAATGCCCTCCAATTCCACTTGTCTCTCCCAGTACTCTTCTTCCACCACTACCCCTGCCCCCGGTCCACCCACAAAATCTACCCTATTTCTAGTTTTTTTTTTTTTTTTGAACAAAGTAGGTAACCTCACCTCCAACAAGTAACTGCTGTTAATATTTCAGCATATTTTCCCTTTACTCCTTTTTTCTGCATATTTCACCCAAATGTAAAACTTATATAGTATTTTAGTACTTTGAGTAAGCACACCCATGTATCTGGAATTTAACTAACCTGTATTAAGTAGTATGCTACCTCCCTCTTAGCTGCTTTTCTCACCTCTTTCTGTGCTCCTGGGGCCAATTCTTGGGATTTTTCTCTTCAGTTTTATAGTAATTCCTGGAAGAGGAAGTATAAAAATCCTTCCTTGGAATTCCTACTATACCTAAAATCTTCACATTTTAGGATCAGATGTATTTTGAATAGTGTGATTTTTCAGATTTGAGGCAATACATACAGATTATTTGAGTACTTACACTGTAAAATCAGTCAACTTGGGACTGTTTACTATTGTTGGAGAAAACCCAAGCTAGTCTCACATAGTTACGTCAGACTTTATTTAAAAGTCACCCCAGAGCCTTAGTTTATAGAGATTCTTGGAACTGTAGGCTGTGAGCCGTAGCCCTTGTTCCTTAGCAGCTCCCTGAGAATGCAGACTGTCTAGTGCTCTCCCTGTCAAACCTGGCATATAGCAGATGCAAATATGCTCAAAGCTAACAGACTGATAGTACATATGAAAGGAGCAGTGAGGGTAAATCGGGAGAGGGATTGGTTGATTGTTAATAAATTTCTTCTTATAACACTCTTGGGTATATCTTATTTATAGGCTGAAGTCAATTCATCTGGAAAGACTATCGCCGAATCAGACTTAAACCACTCTTTTTCACTAAATGATTCACAAGACGATCTACCTACAACATTCCAGGGTGCTACAGCTGGCACATCGGTATGGCTCTTAACTTTTAAAACACATCCACAACACGCCTCCACCACATGTACTATACACACACACACACACACACACACACACCACACCAAGCAACCACACACACCCCACCCCACACCCCCCCACACACATACACATACACACATCCTGCATACACACAAATACTATTGTTTGGAGTAAGGTAAGATCCTTCTAGATCAAATACTGAAAATTTTTTTTCTTAGTAGTAAAATTTTAGCCCAGGTGCCCTACTAATTATGTTGTTTTGAACAAATCTCTCTGGACTTTAGTTTTTTTTTTTTTTGTTAAGTGGGGTTGGATGAAATAGTTTCTAAGTCCTGTTTATCATTTCAGAATGCTATGACTTCTTTACAATTAGTGCTAACATAGTACTAGCCTAGAGAAAACATGCATAGTTACAACTCAGTAATAGATACTAGGCACTGACTTAATAATTCCCTGAGCCGAACACTTGCCTTGGATTAGTTCTACATAGTACTCTAGTCACACATGGTTACCTAAGTTTAAATTCAATGAAGATTTAGTGAAGTTAGCTTGTTACCTCTCAGGCACACTAGCCATATTCTAGGCACTTGTAGCATATTACTGGTGGCTCCAGTTAGAAACATAGACACAGAACTGAAACTCCTTTCACATAGTCCTGTTGAATGCTGCCTTGTGTGGAGTAAGTGGCCAGGAATTGTTAGATGAAAGAATGAGTATTTCTGGGTGTTGGTGGTGCATGCCTTTAATCCCACCACTCGTGAGGCAGAGGCAGGTGGATCTCTGTGAGTTCGAGACCAGCCTGGCCTACAAGAACTAGTTCCAGGACAGCCTCCAATGCCACAGAGAAACTCCGTCTTGAAAAAAAACAAAACAAAACAAACAAACAAACAAAAAGAATGATTATTTCTTATGGTAGACATACCATAGGAACTCTGCTCTGACCCATTGCTTCAAAAAGTGGGTCAGCACAGGTGATCAAAATATTACAGATTAAAAATATTACTGGATTGGTGCTAAATAATGAGGATTATGTGGAAAAAGTGGCTTGACTTAACATGTATCTATACATGATGAACTCTTTTGGAGTCAATTTTGTTACAAATTATATGACTAGGTAACCACATCTTGTGTTTCTCCCTCTGGTATGTAGTAGACATTTATTATTTATTGAGGGAGTTGTGCAATGCCACTATGTATGTGTAGAGGGCAGAGGAACACTTGTCGGAATCAGGTCTCTCCTTCTACCATGTGGGACCTGGCACTGAACTGAGGTCATCAAGCTTGGCAGCAAGCACCTCAATGTAAGCATTTTTGTTAAAGCACATGTACTAAAATATTAGGCACCAATTGATTAATTTTGTAGTAGCAGGGATCAAACCTAGTGTCTTATGTGCTAGTGTGCTGCTAGTTTAAGATGTGGTCTTGCTATGTAGTTCAAGTTAGCCTTGAATTCGTCAGTCCTTCTGCTTCAGCCTTCAAGTGCTGAGATTACAGCATGTTTTAAGGATTGTTTTCTAAATATGTTAATCACACTAATAAGTAAGTAAATTTACAACTTAGTTTTTGAACCTAAATCTGAATGCCTCCAAAAGGATATGTTAATAGTAACAATATTAGTAGTGATTAACATTTACTAAGTAATTGTGAATCATAAGCACTTTATATTGTTAATCCACTTAATCCTCACAACTGCTGAATTACATATTATCGTCATTGTACGGATAAGGGAGCTGAGACCTAGGTTAAATAACTGGCTTAGGAACACATGTTTAGGCAAAGTCAGACTGGAACTAATAAAGGCTCATTGTTTTGTTAGTTTTATGGACAGGTTAATCTCCCCTCAAACTATGGAAAAAATAATATATTCAGTAAATGTTTTAATATGAGTCCATCTCTTAGGCTATAGTGACATTGTCATCATGTTTTTTCCCTTAAGAACCTGTTCCTCGATGGGTGGTGTTGGCACATGCCTTTAATTCCAGCACTTGGGAGGCAGAGGGAGGTGGAGCTCTGTGAGTTTGAGGCCAGCCTGGTCTACAAAGCAAGTTCAGGACAGCCAGGACTACACAGAGAAACCCTGTCTCAAAAGAAAAAAAAAAAAAGGAACCTGTTCCTTGTTCCTTGTTGGGTATGGTGGTGCATGTCTACAGTCTTAGCACTGGGGTGGGCGAGGCAAGAGGATCACATGTTCAAGGCCCACTGGGTTACCAGATGTTTGTTCTCTTTAAGCCTTAGCCCTTGAGCTATTATTGATTAATTTATGCTTTTAGCTGAGCATCAGAAGGATGCAGAAGTTAAACCATAGTGTTTCTGTATTGACTGCTCTTAACTCAGTTCATTCATTGAATATTGGTTCACTTACTGTATGGCGTTTGTGATGACATGTCACCATACAACACTGAGTTTTATGGATCTGCACTTTTCAATGGACAAATTACCCCTTGGAGTCCTAGATTGTACAATTCTAAGTTTATGCAGCTCTTAATTCAGCATTGGTACTAAACTCAGCAGTAGTTTCTTTATAAGTCTATATTACGGGTTAACCACATTTAAGAAACTTCAAAGAGTAATTTTAAGAAATTCAAATTATCTGAGCTTTTTTTCCTATGCTAGGGATCAAACCCAGGTTTTTGTAGATGCTAGGAAAGTGCTTTGCCACTGGAGGGGCATCTCCACACCCTTGTATTTTGATATGTAGCCCAAGCTGGCCTTGAGTTCACCATCTTCCTGTCTTCACTTTTGAGTGCTATTACAGGTGGGAGCTCCCACTCCCAGCTATCAACTCGGAATGTTTGCTTTCAAGTGGAGATTCACAAGTAGCTCAGACTGGCAACTTCCCCCTCTTGTTTAGAGCTGTTGCCAGCACAAAGTTATATTCTTAATGATTAAAAGAATAATTTGGGTTCTATTATTTGATTCTTTTAAGTGTTTATGCTTTCTCTATTGGAAAGTGTTTGAAACATCGAGTATTTAATTCATATTATCCTGAGTAAAACATTCATTCCTATTTCTTGTCTGAAAGCATGAGTATGTTCTGGTGGTAACAGTACTGGGTGAAAGCACGAAAGGCCATTGATGAAGTCGAGGCAGGTTAAGGAGGCTAAGTGTAGTCCTACATTGTGTGACTTCTTTGAATGTACTAGTGCCAGTTTTATTATCTCTGAGGCAAACTTGAGATTTTGAAACCCTGTGTCACATTACGATTGTCCCCTGAATGAACAGTCATTGAGGTAACCAGAAGATGCCACCACCCATTGCTTGGAACAGCCATACCCAGGGTACTCTTGACGACATCAAATACCCAGCACTGCTTTGTAAAAGATACTTTTGGACTTGTGTTTATCTCACTTGTCTGGGCTTATGGAAAAGGTTAAGCTGAGTTTGAAAACAGCACATTTTTACAGTAGCAATATGAAAATTTGTGGTTTAAAATTATTTCCTTACTATGGTTGATGGAAGTTATGTCGACATGTTAAAGTAATATTGAAGAGGTCAGGTTCACCAAACGAAGATGACTTGGAGTTACAATCTTTCTACTATTTGTAATTTTTCAAGTTGAAAGTGGAGAACAGATTGTTTCTCTCCTTGGATCTTCTGAAAGAAGAGCAGTGCCCAGATGCTTGGCAGAAACTGCAGTTGCATCCATCATCTGGAGAGAAACAGCTGTGCCTGTGTCTGCTGATAACCAGACTCCTCTACCTCATGAGTGCTCATGATAACTGGTGTTTCTGGCTTATTCGTCAGGGTTGGTGCCTAATCTCAGTATTCATGTGGTCCTTGATAGAGTTACCTTAGTCATATTTAGGAACTCTACATGTTCCTAAACTGTTAACGAGTGCATATACAAAATGGTTTTTTTGTTTGTTTGTTTTTGCCAATTTCAAACAGATTTTCTTATTATTCCCTAGTATGGAGCCCAGAATCCATCTGGAGCACCCTTGCCACAACCTACCCAACCGGCTCCTAAGAATACCTCCATGAGCCCTCGACAGCGCCGGGCCCAGCAGCAGAGTCAGAGAAGGTCCTCCCCTTCCCCAGATGTGATCCAAGGCCAGCCACCAAGAGCCAATCATACCGAGAACGGCGGGTCTGCCATGCTCATTGTCATTCTCACTTTGGCATTGGCAGCTCTTATATTCCGACGGATATATCTGGCCAATGAGTACATATTTGACTTTGAGTTATAATGCTGGTTTGTGGCTTAAGAGCTGAGACTCGGTTGCTTCATTAAACATTCTGCATTGGGTATAACCTAAGTATTGTTTACAAAAAGATTATTTTATATTTACCCTTCATTACTTTTTTATCGTTATAAATTCATTGTGCTATAGGCAGACATTCAGGCTGTGGTCCAACAGTTTGTCCTGCTTAGATTAAGGGACTGGAAGCCATAGTTCCTTGTCTTACTATTTAATCTACTTCACAAACAAGTAACTTATTGTGGTTGCTCAGACCCAAGCTGCTTTTCCATAGATTTTCAATGCTTTCCTATGTAGTCCTTTGGAGTTTTCAGATAAAAGGTGGCATTTTCACACCGGAGTATTACTGGTTACAGTAAGTAGTATCACTTACTGTCTCTAGGTATGTAGACTGAGAAGGGATAAAGAATGGCAGAGGAAGGGCAAATTTTTTGCTCACCAGCTTCTTGACAAGTGTCATTTATAGGAGAGAGACTGGGATTGTCCATTCTGTAGTCTTTGTATTCGAAACTTTGTTCAGTGACAATAATTTTATTTCAGACATTTATGAAGATCTTTGTTATATATTTGTTTTGGGATATTACTTGAAGAGGAAAGACTTTGTAGCCACTTTGATATGCTGTTATCACCTCCAGTGTGCACACAAATGAAAAGAAAACAGGCCTTTATAACCCTGTCTTACAGAAGAAAGGATCCATACCAAGAAATAGGTTGATTTTTCTTTCACAAGTCAGGTGAGGAGATCATAAAGTTTTAATCTTTGCTCTACTTTCATTTGTACATGGTTTGGATTATATGTTATATGCCCAGCTTTGTAATCACTATAGCTTTTAATTATTCTAGGAATATTCATAATCAAATTTTAATAGAAAAACTCAGGGCCCAAGTAACAGTGGTAGAGAGATTAAAAACAAACTTTTATTTAGAATTGTTCACTAATCAAAGCCCAAGAAAAATTTCAATGAAAATTTTATCTGTCCCTTAGTGCCAGCCAGTCCCCCAGATGCTGACATCTGATTTTGTCATCACAGTGCCTAGTGAGACCATTTAAGGCAATATTATATTGCCTTTAGCATGTTCCTTCAGCAACCTTGAGGGAACTCTTGAGGGCCCCGTATTGCTGGTTTAACTGTAAAATATAGACAGTTCCCAGGTTTTTAAATGTATCATGCTCTCAAAGCCCATTTATAAGCAGTTTTGTGGTTTTTTTGTTTTGTTTTGTTTTGTTTTTTAAGACAACTGAATATAAATGGTTTTTGGTTTCTAGGTCATTCCACAAAGGTTAGTTAGCTCATATGTATTTTAAGTATGTGTGAGAGGGTAGTTGTAAAGTCCATATGTGGTTTTAACTAAATACTCTTATGGGCATGATAGAACAGCTCACAAACTCATTCTAAAGTGAGTTTAATTTTCACTCCTATTATGTGATTTGGGGTCTGTTAACCATTGAACATACTTTCCATTTTTATTTGGTAGCCAGTTTTTGTTGTTGTATCAACACCTAAAATTTAAAAAGGCACTATATGCTATAATATAATCTTAAAGTTTAATAGATTAGGATTTTATAGTTATTCAGATTGTTTATGTCTATGTATGAAATTGGTAAAGTCTAAAAAGCCCCAAGAACTTTGTGATGACCTCATGTCAGGAAGACTATAGGTTATCATTTTTTTTAATTTTGTTGCCATGAAAAAATATATTCTGAGGCCTTAGTTTATAATACTGGATATGAAAAACATTAGTTCAGTGGTCTCCTAGAAAGAAGTCAGTAGGGTGACACTATCACCCTGTGCTAAGATGGGTCATATGCTAGAGCAGTCTTCCTCCCAGTCAGACTGGCAGCCTTTGGAGCTCTGTGATCTTGCTGCATCTTCCATGGGCACCTGTGCTGAGCACTAGGTTATTGTGTGATCTCATCCATTCTCCCCTCACTGTCGCTAACTGGCTACCTCCTTATGTGTGTTGGCATTTTTTAGCATCTGATAGACACATCAAAGTGGTATATTTTGCTTTTTCCCTCATATGCTATGTAAAAATTGTCTCCCCACCCACAGTTGGAGTCAATGAGCTCACTGAAGGGCCTCTATTGTTAAAGCCTCAGTTTAGCCCCTTAATTCCAGCATAAGACCCAAATCATGTAGAAGCTGGTAGGTAAAGTCTTAGGATCTCCATGTCTCCAGTTCTCAGATTTCAAAACTCAAGGCTTCTTCACTGACCAGCATAGCATATGGCTACACATCAAGATAGTTAAAATAGCATGCTTGAAAAATTTGCCTGTTTTGCTTGTAGCGATCTAAGCTCATGAGCTTTCCAAATCTTCTGTACGTGGGGGATTTATGTAGCACTTTACATTTCCATGCTGCTGATTGTTTTATTCTACTGAAATAAATGATTTCATCAAGCTTCTCAGTGAATTAAAAAACCTAAGTTATTTATTAGTTTTACTATGAAAATGACAGATTTCCCTATTTCAGGAGAATAAGAACTCTGTTTATTCAGCTTTGGCTTATGAAGAAACATTGTGGTATCTTGAGATTGCCCATTTTTATAGACCAGAATCTAAAACCTCACACATCTGTACTTACAGGGACCTAGGGTGTAGTGCTGAAGAGCCTACATTGCTCTGTTACCTGAAAACGAGTATGTATCAAGTGAAAACAGTGATCCTGACAGTTGTGTGACTTCCTGAGGCCATGAGAACAAACATCTATTCACCTCAAACAGGGCACTACCCCCAAACCAAACAACAGTTCTACCCAAACGATGTTAGTGACCCAGTGAGTCCATTGGGGCTACTTACTTTAATTCATGAGTGAATTAAAAAGGCAGTGTCACAGGAAAAGCCTACCTCAGCTTGGGTGATGTCTCGGGAAACAGCATCCCTGGAGCACCTTGCATGACTGATAGGCAGCTCAGCTGATTGGAGTCTCGCCAAGCAGTTGCTGCTTCTATGACCTTGGGATGGGCCCTGTGAATCTTGCTTCAGGAGCTTCCTAACCCTTGCAGATTTCCTTTACTCCCTGAGTCTTATAAGACCCCCCCTCTCCTCTCTTCATTATTCTTTCAAAAGAGTGTTTCTATTGGAAGGAAGCAGCTATACTACACCAGCTGACCAAGAGTTGTGAATACATACCAGAACCATTGAAACTGGCAGGAAGCCGTTCAAGTCCAAAAGCTGTCTGAATTCATTTGAACAGGTGTTTTCAGAACTTGTTTGAGCTGCCCAATAAAACCAGTGACTATACTCATACCTTGTTTTTGACCAAAGGTTGTGGTTCTTTGCCTCTAATCCTACCTCTTGTCCATATTCCTTTGAGTACCATGTCTGGATCTTTCCACTTCTCTTTGTGCTTTTTGCCTTTGCTTTCATTAGCCACTTTCTAATTTATGCAATTACTTCTGGATCTCCTCCAGTCTCATGCCATTCTTTATAAACATCCAGTCTTCATTCCATACACCTGCTTCTGCCTCTTCCATGGCCTAAACCCAATGGAAGCCATACTGCTATGCATGACCAGAGTCCTGCTTCAGCTAATGCTGCTGGGGCCTCTCAGTCTCTGAGCTTGGGCACATGAACTTGACCCCTCTGTCTTCACATGAGCCAGTGTTACAAGCTAGACTGTTCATAGGCTGTACCAAAGACAAAAATTAAGTCAAAGGGGATTGTAGACTTCAATATAAGATCTACAGCTAGTGGCAAATACTTGAAATGCCAGCACTGGACAGGCAGAAGCAGGAGAGTTTGGAGTTCAAGAGCAACATGAGCTACATATCCAAACCCCATGTCAAAACTGAGCAGCTACAACTAAAACCCATAGAAAAAACTGTCTTGTCACCCTGGACTAGGCAGTGACTTCTCCACTACAAATTCAAAAGCACAAGGAACCAAAGAAAGGGATGCTATAATTCATTGAAATAAATTTTTTTTTTAATTTCAAGAACCTCTGTTAAGAAAGTAATAGCTGGGCCTGGTGGCATATGCCTGTAATCCTTCACTCAGGAGGTGAGTGGATTATTTTGAACTCCAGGCAGTCCAAGTCTACATAGCCAGTTCCAGCTTAGCTAGGGCTGCATAGTGAAATCCTGTCTCAAAAAAAAAAAAAATAGAAAAGAGCTTGATTTAAAAATAACAGATTAGAAGCTGGCCATGGTGGCACACACCTGTAATCCCAGGACATGGGAAGTAGAGACAAGAGGATCAAAAGTTCAAAGTCCTTGGCTGCATAGTGAGTTTGAAGCTAGCCTGAGCTACATGAGACACTATGCTAAAACAACAAAACATGAAATAAAGAAAAAAACTGACAGCAGATTTGAATAGACATTTCTGCAAAGGTATATGGATGGCCTGTGTGCATATAAAGAGAAGCTTTATATCATTAGCTAATCAAACCACATTATTACTAAGATACCACTTCACAAGTACTTCGAGGGTGCTCATAACTAGACTATAAACTCCACATAAGTCATAGTGCAACCTGTGGTCCTAGCACTTGGGAAGTTGAGGCCAACTTGGGCTTCATAGTAAAACCAATCTTAAAAGTGGGGAGAGGGGTTGGAGAGTGGGCACTCATTGCCCTTGTAGAGATGGGGTGTACTTCTCAGCACTCAGGTGGCAGCTTAAAACCAGTTCCAGGATGTCTTAGGGTTTTTACTGCCTTGAAGAGACACTATGACCTCAGCAACTCTTATAAAGGAAAAATATTTAATTGGGGCTGGCTTACAGGTTAGAACTTTAGTCCTTTATCAGCATGGTGGGACAGGGTGGCATGCAAGCAGACTTGGTGCTGGAGAAGTAGCCGAGTATCCTGTCTCATGTGCGGGCAACAGCAAGTGGTCTATCTCACTGGGCATGGCTTGAGTATATATGAGACCTCAAAACCTGCCTCCACAGTGACACACTTGCTCCAACAAGGCCACACCTCCTAATAGTGCCACTCCCTTTGGGAGACATTTTCTTTCAAACCACCACACATGGTATCTGATAGCCTCTTGTGATCTTCTCTGGTACAAAGCACACACAAAGTACATTTACATACATGCAGGCAAAACATTTATACACATAAATATTACTTACACACACACACACACACCCACAGACAAACACACACACACACACACACACACACACACACACACACACGCCAGATGGCTTTGTCAAAAATGTGAAGAAATCGGAATCTTATATTTCTTGTGAGAGTGTAAAAGGAAGTTACATGAAGACCCAGGAATCCCAGTCCATTGTATCCCAAAGAAAACTGTGGGCAAGTGAGATGGCTCACTGATTAAAGGTGCTTGCTGCTAAGCCTGACAACCTGAGTTTGATCCCAGGGTCCTACTTGTTGGAAGCAGAGGACTGACTGCTGCCAGTTGTCCCCTGACCTTCGTGCACATGCTGTGTCACATCAAAATGTCTTTATACAGACTTAGAAGCAGGCATTCATAGCATTCTTGTTAAAAGTGGAAACAGACTGGTGAATAGATAAACCTGTACAATATAGTAGTCTTAGCCCATAAAAGAGATAGGTAAGGAAGCATGCTACAACATAGATGAACTTTGAACACATTATGCTGATACATAGTATATAGAGGAACCTTGAACACATTTCGCTGAGGAAGCCAAATACAAAAGGCTATGGGATTTTATTTACATTAAATGTCCAGAACAGGCAGATCCTGGAGAGAGCGGGTTTGTAGTTGACCAGGTGTAAGGAAAGAGAATGAGGAGTGACTTGCTCCTGACTATGCGGTTGTAGCAGGGGAGCAATTAAAATAATTCTGAAATTAGGCAGTGGTGATAGTAAAGGAGTGAGTTGATGGCATAAATGATGCTCCAATGAAGGTGTGAAGGAAAAGTTCCTCCATCCTCTATTTCTTGTGAACCACAGCATGCAGGCACAGCTGGATAGTCAGGGCTTTCTGGGTTGCAACTGGTCGTTTATTGTCTTGTTCCAAATGGAAGAGAGAATGAATCTTTTGAGCAAGATTATGGGAAAGAGCGTTAATAGGCATTACACCTCAGCACTATGTCTTCAAGGGGATACAACTTTTAAACTCCTGGACTGGGGCGAAGCTAAGTGGTGCAGTGTACCAATGCCCCCTGTTGCAGTGAGTGAAAATTATCTGAATAATTCTGAGTACTAGCCAGGTTTAGGGACTACTGAATCCAATTCCCACTCATCTATTAAAAATTAATTTCCGTGGCTGGAGAGATGGCTCAGTGGTTAAGAGCACTGGCTGCTCTTTCAGAGGTCCTGACTTCAATTCCCAGCACAGACACGGTGGCTCACAGTCATCTATGGTGGGATCTGATGCCCTCTTCTGGTGTGTAGATGTACATGCAGACAGACCACTCAAAAAGTACATAAAAGTAAAAACATTTTATTTATCTATCTATTGTCTATCTATCTATTTTTATTTATCTATTTGTGTGTGGGCCCATGCCTGCCTGCCATCTATTTGTGTGTGGGCCCATGCCTGCCTGCCATGGGTGTGTGTATGGGGATTGGAGACTTGGCAGGACTCAGTTCTCCCTTCCCACCATGTGGGTTCTGAGGATAAAACTCAGGTTGTCAGGATTGGCAACAAGTACCTTTTGTTATAAACCAGGTAAACCTTGCCCCACCCATTGGGACTCTGGCATAGTGTCTCACCCCTCTATACATGGTAGGCAAGCAGTGCCCTGGCTGTGTATGCAGGTGTGAAGGTCCCTTTAAGAGACAAGCTCCACCTACTTCCTCTCTTTCTGAGGAGGCAGCTTTCTGACTCTGTCTCTTTTCTCTCTCTCTCTACCTCCTGTCTCTCCCCCCTTGTTTTCCTCCTCTCTCTCGTACTCCCTTCCTCCCTCCCCCCAGTGAACTTCCACACTAGTTTTGTCTACAGGTCTCTGTTCTTCACCTGCCATGGAATCCACCAAAGGTCCCCACCTCAAGTTGTATTCATAACACTGGTGATGTGAGAAGACCCGCTGAGCCATCTCACAGCCCCCACATGCCCATTTAGGACATTGTAATTTGGTTCCCCAAAATGATTCACAACCAGAATGACCAGCTGCATCAGAAACCGTGGTTCCTAGAGCCAGCAACCCGTGTTCTGTCTGCACCATGCTGGACCTCCTCCTGCACTGCTGACTCCTCGCTCCTTGATACTCTTCTTTGTCTGTTCCAGTCAGCTTCTCAGCTGGTCCTTCCATGCCTCTGCTCTGTTGTACAGATGTTACTGTTACCAAACTTGCGGTTCTCAGTCTGTAACCGGAGAAGCCAAGTTCAATGACTCATTCTTCAGTCTAAAGCTCTCGGAACTGAGCTATTTCGCTATTTCGATGTTGTTCAGTGACTCATTCTTGAGAAACCAATTAAACTTGAGATATTACTAGTGAAACAACAAAAACAGATAAAAAGGCTATTAACCTATTAAATGTATCCATGTTGGGAAGAGGGACAAAGAGATACATTTTGGGGGCCCTGAAGTGAGATTAAAGTTGAAGTATGGGGCCAGGAATATGCATATTTAAGCAGTCTGAGTCAAGCCTGGGG